ACGTAAAATTTATAGAATTAAAGGTTCAAAAGAGGAGTAAATGAATATAAGTGTCAAAGTAGGTTTAAATAAGTATATTGGTCAGTTAAATAGGTTCAAAGTATCTTCAAAAGTTTGAAAGTAGCATCAAAATTTCGACTCGGGATGTGTCTGTGTAGATAACCGCACCAGATATCTCAATGCTTCCTCTCAAAAAAAAAAAAACAGGTGGATACACGTATTGAAAAGCTGATCCTCGACTTATGAGATCATCGGCTTCAAAGGAGACGACGTTACTCCCGGCTGCAAACGTGTGTGTGTGTGTCTGTGTCTGTGTCTGTGTCTGTGTGTATACGTTGTACATCGCTTTGCCATCCTTTCCGGTCCGTCAGGCGTGGCTGATTGACTCGCTTACCCTAGAACTTGATGACGCTACATTCTTATTAAGGCCGCTCTTCGTTAAGAGGCAGGTGTGCCCGAGTCCAACGACGGTAATCAGATCTCCGCTCTCAATGAAATGTTGAAACGCGTAATTAGACGATATTTAGCGCGACGCCTCTCGCCGCGAGATTTATAGCGGGGATATCGTATATGAAACGCAAATAGAAAAGGAAATGGCTCTGACGTTTCTATTTAACGACCAACACGAGAGAGGACGACTTGTCGCCCCGTGAGCACGTCGCCTGTTATCCGAGGATCTTACGCCCTTCGCGCCTCTTCCCGCTTTTTCCGCTTCTTCGCTCCGTTTCTCTTGCGGAATCTCTACGCTCCACTTACAGCGCAGTCGCAAATGCGCGGGGAGTTTTAATGAAAACGTTGTGTGTTATTTCATCACGCGGGCCGCATTGATATTCGCAGTCGTGCATTAGCACGCGATCTGCAATCCAAATCGCGCGTCTCTTCCATCGTGTGAGCGCGCACGAATCCGACGGAACTGTTTGTGTTTCTTACACGCGAATCTTTGATTATATATACACACGTGTTTGTTTAGCGCTTCGATTTCAACTGTGGATCTCAAAAAACTGTGGAGCGTGTCGAACAATTTTATATAGTATCGGCCAATTAGCGTCAGCCAGTAATTAACATCGTCATTTTTATAAGAGAAACGATCATCGTATCAATATATTCGGTGCATCTTAAAAAAAAAAAAAAAAGAAAATGTCTTTCTCTGAAACGCGCACAAAATTAAAATTTTCTCCCGAAGATTTTACATTCGACGAAAGTCGGTCCGATAGTTTTCGATAGAAAAAATTCGATTGAATTTAAGAAAACTCTCATTAGAACGATGATTCGATCTTCGGCCTAATAACGTCGTGCTCGATGCGATCTTGACGAAATATTCTATTTCATGCGCGCGATAACCGTGGAAGCGAAGGAAATTGCCGGTCGGAAAAAAAAAAAAGCGGCGCTGTTATTTCACGGCTTTCCGATCTCCGATCCCCATCTCGCTCGATTCCGGAGGTGGAGTCGTCGGTTGAAATAAAGCCGGACAAGGAGACGCCGGGCGTTTGCTAGGGCGTCACGCTATTTTCCACTAGCTCAGCCGAGCGAGCGAGCACGTCGCCCATCCTCGCCCGCCTCCGCCGCCTTGATCTCACTCCCACCGCCTCGCAGACACGTTGTCAGTCCCTGGTGCGGTGCACGGGAGATATCGCTCTCTGCGTATCTCTTTGCGTACAATGGCCAATGGGCTGCGGGCAGCGTGCACACATTCCGCCGCGAAATGTAATCACGGCCTCGTAAATCGCCGCTCGTTCATCTTCCCGCACACCGGGAAGACAACGTCAGCTCGGCGCGCCACACGAGATCGTAGTGCACACACACACACACGCACTCACGGTGATTTCCTAACACACCAGTATCAACTTGTCCGGGTAGAAGCCCGTTCAATGCTTCTCCATTATTGCACAAAGGATTGCGCAAAGCCGCTATCATTCCCCCGATGAAGTTATTAGTATATTCCTGCGTTCTATCTTGTAAGGTTTAATTCCACAAATTTGCGCATTTTGAGAAAAAGAAAACAAGTAAATAAATTATTTTAATTCTCGAAATTATACTGAATAAAATTCTAAATAAGTGTTATTTTAGTTTTTGGTTTAAAATCATATTTAAAACAAAATTTCTTTCGCCACATGTCGGTAGATCTTAGACGACGATGTTCAATTTGTCACAAAAAAAAAAGACCCGAAAAAGCGTCTCCGTTTATTTATAAAATATATACATACACGGAGGTAAACGCATTTAATTGATGCTTCGTACGGTACCGGTCGTGTCAGAAAAAATTCTTACTAATTTTTTTTTTCTAACAAACTTAAAACAAATCGTGACTCGCTCGCGCGCAATTTTCCGGAAACAATAAGAGAACAATATCGGGTGTGCAATTAGAAGGAGGCGAAAATAAAGTCGACGGCAGAGCCGAGCTGGCGCGCAATTCCGCTCTCTGTCCGTTACGTGCTCGCACCGAAACGAGCACACATAAGTTCGGTAATGTAAGACTCTCGTAAATGTAACACGACCTTAAGCACGGGTCAGCGTTTGGCCTTGCGACCGCGTCGAGAAGTTGCGCGCGACTTCCGGGGGGGATGAAATTACATCGCGGGGTGAGTAACGCGACGACACGACGGACAGAGAGCAAAGAACAAGGAGAAGGAGGAAGAGAAGGAGACGCGGACATTTTCAAAGCGCGATAATAATTCTCGCTCGTTTATCATCTTCGTCTCGCTTTTATTCGCTCGCGTTTTTTCGCACGTTTCTTGATCGCCGCGGGTTCGACTTTTTCCGCTCATCGATTAACGCGCGATGACGTCCGCCCACGGACGGAAAACCGGTTACTCGAATCTTTACCACGCCGTCTCTATATCTCGAACGAAATATTGATAACAAAATCGATTTGTTGTCAGAACGTCTATTTCGAGAACGGACGTTTAACGACTGACCGTTTCGGCGAATTTCTTTTTCAGGGAAAAGTTGTCCCGGGAGGAAGGAAGTAAGGCAAAACACACGAATGTGTAACGATCCGGCTGTGATTGCGCGCGGCTATATTAGACGGAGACATGTTATAAGCTCGATTGCGAAGGAGCGCTCGCGTGCTCTTGTGCCACTTGTAAGGGCGACTCGTACAAGCCTGTACAGGCCCGAGCAGATAGTCACGGAAGTGCTAGCGCGAGTAACAAGTTTCGACACGCCTTTATACACGCTCCATTTTGGCCGCGCGATAGCTCCCTCCTCCGGAACACAACCGACGAGATAACAGAAGAATTTTCACGGAAGAAAATTCGCTTATCTTTGCGACAAAACCGTCCGAGGCGATAAAAAAGCGGCGAATTGCAGAGGAGGGGCTACGACAACGGTGACTCTGTCGAAGTGGCAACTCAGATTTCTTTTCTAGAGAAACATTAAGAAACAGAAAAGTGTGCGGAAAAATGTGCAAGGCGAAATTAAGAATTCAATTTGTCGCTTCAATAAAAAAAAGTGTTAGACGATCCTGAAACTTGTTTGCAACTTAGATGGGACGAAATTTCGCGACTTGGAATATAATTTGTTCGATGTCCCTGTCGAAGCTGAGGGAATCCTGACGCATTACGCATGTTCCACGTCCGACAGTCTATCCTTTACAGTCCTACCGCACATTTGTTACGTAAGAGGGTAAGACAAAGGAGGTTTTCGAGGTGGAAGAGAGCGTATTTAACGAGAACTGCTCGAGGAGAATTCGCTAGGAGATCGTAGATCTCTCGAACGGGAAGGAGCGCGCGAGAAAAAGAAAGTCGCTCGTTATTCGCCATCTTGATCGTAACGATCCGTGACGGCATCCTTGAGGTTCACGGGTCGTTAAAAAAAAAGTGAATACCGCGTTGTATATTGTTTAAATTATATCTGTTAAAATTTTGTAACTTCCTCCGATTAAAAAAATTCTTTTTATTCAAATTTTGGATAAAACAATTACGCGCAAATGTGTTTTGGACACAAAATGAGCTCAGAAACATTAATTAATTTTATGAATATTCATTAACTTGTTTAATGTGCAATTATTTTCGTATAATGTTACTTTTTTTCTCTAAATTGTTGGATCCGAATACAAGAACTCGGAAGAATCGCGCTCGATTCGCTCGGAGCGCGATCAGAATTGTGCGAATCGAACACGCAATTAAGACGAAGCAGCCGACAGTTGTGAAATACGGCTCGGAACGCGTTAATTTCTGACCCCCCCCCCGGAACACACGGGAAGGCCGGAGATTTGTGCGACGAGAGTTGCATGCGTTCTTCGTGCCCGCGGCACGAGGCATTGGCGCTAGAAGCTGCCCGTGGAATAGAGACATTACGCTCGCAGTTTAGATAAGACCCGCGTGGCAGTTCCGATGTCGAAGGAGCCTGGCCGAGTATCTGTGATGTTGTCAGCGCCAGGATCACGATTTACAATGAAGCTCGTTCGCTCTCTCTCTCTCTCTCTCTCTCTCCCCGAGAGATCCCGGCGATGCGAATGGCCGATCGCGCGTTCAAATCTCTGCAAACTTGATGTGCGATTTTGCAACGTGTCTCGTGTTTAAGTTGTATCTCGTTTAAAATACGAGACCGATGTAAATTTCATCGTGCAAGAATCACAAACAAAATAAATCGAATACATATATGTTACACATATGTATATTCAACATTTAAGACAAAATTATTATTGACTCACTTAATTAGAGAAGTATCAGCGCTTTAATTAAAGTCACACTCGAACAAAAGGATACAGTTAGTAGAACACATTCTAAAAATACAAGAAACGACAACTTTTATCACGATTTCTTCTTCGAGGAAATATTATCCGCGGACGATCCGAGTCGATCGGTTGCCGATCGCTGACTCGCGGTTCCGTTTAGGTTTGACGCACAGAATAAATCATCATAAAGTATGACAACGACGTGCTGATGAGCTGCAAAGAATATTATCTTCTCTCAATGAAAATGCGGACTTTTAGAATTAGCTCTAGGATTGTTTTTTGTTTTTTTTTGTTTTTTATTACCGTGGCCAAACCCTCCAAAGACAGTATGAACATACAGCCGATCACCAATGTGGAACTCTTCATACTTCGGTGCATTATCACCAGAAGGCACTTCTGCATTTGCAACGGAGTCGCGTACCATCGAGTGCTCCATCTACGATCGATTCGCGCGTCGATTAATCCGTTTCGATTGATTGTAAAAAAAAATTCTCGGATACGGATATTTGAATCAAAGTCTCACATTTTCTTAAACACGTCGTCGCTGTAATTTATTACCTCCTGGCCGAAGTAGTTGCCGAGAAACATGAAGACGAAGTGGGAGAGAATGTACAGAAATAACATGCTCGCGACGGTGAGGTTGTCCGACGAGGTCATAATGTTGTTGCAAAACTGTACGAAATCGGCAACTTGTAAAAAAAAAATACTGTCTAACTGCGCGCGACGAGATCGGTAACAAAGGTACTCACTCGAAATAGATTGACGCTCAGCGATATCACGCCTACGATGATTATAAGCAGAAAGCAGATCCCGAGAATGGAGTTACACATGTGAACACACCTTGAATAAAAAAAAAAAGAAAAAAAAACGATCAAATCAAAGTAAAACACGAGATTGTTACGTCGTACAAAAATTCGAGAAGAAACCGAATAAAAAAAAAAAAAATTGCTGTTTCGCGAAAAATCTCAAGCAATTTTGAGTTAGCGAAACAATATATTGTTGTGTATCGCAAATAAATTAATCTTTATAAAAATTGACTCTTCTTCAAGAGTTTCGATACCGACTTAATGGCTCTTTGGTGACTATCGACGATCTCCGCGATGTCCGCGTAATTCTCGAACTTCCTCAAAGAATCCTTCAATCTCATCTGGTTTCTGTTCACAATACGTTCAATCCGATAGCTGAAAGAAAACACGTTGCGCGGAAATTAAAACGCGAAATGTTTTCTTTAATCTCGTTACGTCGACAACGTAATCCGGATAATCACCTAGTGATGGAGAACATCGCGCAGATGTGTTGCACGTATGCCATTGAAGCCGTTTCCGTGGCCAGGGCTGTGTTCATGCCAACCAAGGCTACCAGAAACAGATACCCCGCCAGCAAATAGAGATGCTTCTCCTGATCGATGAAATATTCCAACGAATCTGGAAAGTGCCACCGCTCGCGCGATTCGTTCAACGGAATCACAATATCAAGAATGTGCGGGGAGAAAAACGTCAGCGTGAATATCGCCAACGACGTGTACACAAATACTGAAAAAGAATCGCGCGTGTTTCGGAATTCGATTTTAATATTTCGCGTAATTTCTTCTCTTCTTCTTTTTTTGCGATCTTTACTTTTCTACTCACTCATCGAAAAGATCGTGCCGAATTTTCCGATTACGGCGTGTCGGTGAAAGATCTGAAACTCCTCGTCATCCTTCAAGGAATCCAAATTCATTCGCACTTGTTCGAAACAATTTTTAAACTGAAACACGGCAGATTACGTTAAAATAAATCAAATTCGCGAGACTCGTATTTTATCAATTCTGTGAACTTACTTTATCGGTATTAATAAACAAGGATAAATATCTGAGTAGATAGAACATGGTGGGACCGGCGTACGAGATAACGTCTAGAAAATGATCCACGCTGTTTTCCTTCGTGAAAAACGAAGCCAGCTAGAAGAGCATTTATCTCACGGACATGTTGATTGATGAAAAAAATTTACACGAGTGTTCACGCGATACTTAAATATACAAAAAGTCTCTAATTCTCACAGCTCGTTAATTCATTTTAATGCGTAATTAATAATTATCGATATGCAATAAATGAAACACTGAGAGTAACACGATCAACATTTAAAGTGACACAAACAACGCTTAACAATGTGTAGCTTGTATAACTTTTCAGCAAATATCGTAATTGGCAAACCTGAAAAACGAAAGCGGACAAGAGAAAAGGGGACAAAAGTACAGCCTGGATGTATTTTGTGCGCGGTGCGTAATACGGCCATAGACCGATGCACGTCAAGAGAAATCGATTGAATCTGAAATATTTGTCCATCCGATAGCCGACGAAGTTGTCGCGTGATCAATCAAGAGACGTTGTTTCGGCGACGACTGACGTTAACTTTCTCCGTTATTTTGGCGTCTTTTATCGCGCGTAATAATTTTCGCGCGATAAAACCGCGACCAAAACATCGAACGTGATAATTTTTGCGAAACGTAAATAGCGAACGTTATTATTCGTAAATTTGCAACAATTGCGCGTCATAAGATAATAGAAAAAAGTGAGGGCGAGAGAATAGATTGCGCGCAAATAATATATTCCCGCTGGGGGAGGCGTTTGACGAGGATGATAATGGGCGCAATTGTCTTAAACTCTTCCACGCACGCGCTTTCGCGTACGTTTTTTTTTCATCGACGGTCTTGTCTCCTCTCATTTCTTTATCGTCGAGTGAAACGATCGCATCTTTTTCTCATCGAAGACCGATGAAAACATACTCGAGAAATAACGTACCGATAATACAAGGTCATATTTTTTCATTTTTATTTGATTGATGTAAAATAACAGACACGGTTAACGGTTGCTTCTACATTTTGTTGTATTTATTTGCACAATTATATCGATAAAATTGCTTGGGTGTTGTGAAAATTGTTATTTGTGAAGTTTCGCGTGCTTGAGATTCGAATGTAACAAAGTTGATCTTTACAAAAAAAAAAAAACGATCAACGATCCTGCAGAGAAAGAATCATCATGAAGTACGAGACCGACGTGCTTATGAGCTGAAACAGAGATTTTGTTTTAGAAAATCTGAACTCAAATAAAAAAAGAAACACATTCGCAAAACGCACAGTCACGTGTGTATTAAGCATGAAAATACCGTGGCGAATCCTTCTAACGATCCGACGAACAAACCACAAATGACGGTGACATTGTATTTCATTCCTCTCTGCATCACGAACAACAACAATTTCTGCGCTCTCAGCGAAGCCGTGTACCACTGCGCGTTGTATCTGCAAGATTCGCGTGCGTAAAAAAAAAAAAAAAAAAACACATTTTCCGCCGCGCCTAAAAAACATTTGTTCTCGCGACTTACGTTCTGTAAAAGATTTCGCCGCTATGATCGCTTATTTCCTGCGCCGCGTAGTTGCAAAAACCCATGTACCAGAAGTGACTGAGAACGAAGATGAAACTGATGATCATCTCGTAATAATCTTCCATCATAATCAGATAAGATAACTGCGACAACGTGTGAGAGAAGTCAGTCGTTCAATTTCATTAACGTTGTTGTTGAGTCGATAATTACTCACACGATAGAGATTGATGCTCAGCGACGTCACCGCTAACGGCAACAGCACGTTGTACGACCATCTGAAAGCCGCCTCCGATATATCGATAAACCTTGAGAATTGAACGGTACGTATAAGTAAACAAATATAAAGGAAATTATTTTTTTTTAAATAATGATGTGTGTAATTAGCTCCAAGATTTATGAATAATAAAGGTGTTGTTAAATGGCTGTTAGAGCAAACACGGATGACGATGTGTATAAAATTGATTTATTTCACATTTGTTCGGTGTCTTCAGTCGCTTCATTACATTGTAAAGTGATGGTCATGTCATGTTCCCATGATATTGAACACTCAAGACGATACGTTGCGATAACCATTACTATATTATCTTAAATGTATTGAGAAAGACCTAATACAAAGGTCGAAAGCTTTACACTGCTTAATAAACTGATTCAATTTTATACACACCGTCATCCGTGTTTGCTCTAACAGCCATTTAACAACACCTTTATTATTTTTTTTGCCTGTTGTAATTAGCGACATTAAAGATTTTTAGTATAAAAGTATAAAATTTAAATGAAACGACGACGAAAACGTAAAATAGCGATTACGAACTCTGTTGCCTTTCTGTATACGTTGACCGCGCCGATTATACCGCAGATCGAATTTCTTTTAACGGAAAACGCAACGTGTTGGCTGTTCGATCTCTGCTGCAAAGCTTGTTCAATGCGACAACTGAAACTGATAACGTGACTGCAAAATTCTTGGAAATTTCAATTGTCCTTGAATACTTGCTGCAGATGCATTATGATGCCGAGATTTTTAAAACCGAGATTAAACACAGCTGCAACAAGTATTCAAGAAACAAAATTTTGTTAATAATATTTTATTTTTCTCAGCTTTTTACTTGGCTATTTCGAACAGTGCGCACACATGATGCGCGAGAGTCATATTAAGCGTCTCGGTGCCAGCCACCACAGTAACTGCGACGAGAGTCACGAAAAAGATGTGCGACAAAATCGGAACGTAATACTTCTGCTGATCCACAAAGTACTCGACCACGACCGGAAGCTGCCACGGACGGGATTCGTTCGCCGACGACGTCCAGTCGAGAAAGTAATTCGACAGAACTTGTATGAAGATGAAGCCACACGCGGAAATATAAAGGAACACTATAGCGGGGAGAAAAAAAAAACAAAAACCAAACATCCGTTACTGAGCGTGAAACGCAAATTTTTCAAAGTGCTTACAAGTGGTAAATATAGCGATGACTTTCCCGAGGGCCGAGTATTTTTTTATTATCTCGATTTCCTGCGCGTTATTCAACTCGTCCCAGTCGCTTCGCAGGCGTTCCATGACGTCTCGCATCTGCGCCCAACAATAACGATCGCCGTTCATCGACACGTTTCGCACAAGTACCCGCGAGAGACTCTCAAATGCACTCACCTTATGTATGTTTAAGCAATGCATGTTATACTTTAAAAGATACGACAGCCACGGGACGGTGTACGAGAGAACGTGCAGAAGGAGATCCACGTTGAATTCGGTTGTGATGAAGGTCGTAAGCTGAAAGTGATACTTTCCTCCAGCCATTCTTATGTCTTACGTTATCGACGGGTTTTCAAACTAGACTAGATTTTCGCTTTGCGAAAAGAGTCTTGAAAATATAAATCAAAATTTTCTAACTGAATATATCTCCGATTCAGTAAAGCGAGTGCAATTTACTACAAAGTCAAATAATGTACCGAGCATTAAAAACCGATTGCTTTATTAATTTACATTCTTATTAAATCCATATTTCAATTATATTCGATATTATAAATAGTAAAAAAAACTTAACAAAGAACAAATTAAAAAAAAAAAAAAACAAAAAACCAAATTAAACGAAGAAACGGACTGTCGTACCTGAAACACTACGCTAGAGATTAGAACCACAGTCACAAATGATATTATAATAAGCTTGGAACTGAAACCTTGATACGGCCACAAGCCGACACACAAAAGCAGAACGCGATTAAGCAAGTAATAACTACTCGCCATGGATTCTAGCCATCTCTGTTCAAGGATCGCAACACGATTGTGACGAATTTTCTTACACGAGGTGACACTTAGGCTCGGCAGCATGTTGTCGTTTTTTTTTTTTTTTTTTTTTATTTTATCGTATTATATTATAATTCCGCATTTCCGCGAGTTCGAAATAACGCGGCGATAATGCGCGAAAATTACGGGAAAATAACGAATTATGGCTCATACCAGTTTCCACCACCAAAGTGCGAAGAAAAACGCTATTACCCACCTGCACAAAGTGTGCAGCTAATTATCTTTTTCTCACTGTATCGTCACATTTGTGACTCAACTCTCGCGTTCGATCGACGCAAGCGCGATCGCTTTCGCGGGAATTTTGCCCCTTATTTCTATTCGAGACGCGAAGCGTTGCAGTACTACGCAACTTGTGTAGCAAAGCACTGCTGATATAGTGATACATAAAAAAAAAGCAAAAGAAAAGCACGCGGCACGTCAAAAGATCAACAAAATAAATAAAAACTACAATATCGGTAACATAATAGTGAATTTCTAAGGTGTTTAAGATTTTATGTATATAGAAATAATGATAGAAAAAATGTAAGTTAATGAACAAGTTTGTTTATTCGTTCGATGCTTTTGTACTACGATATTTGGTTTTTACTACAATATTTGGTTTTCTACCATCATTATTTCGAGAATTACACAATTTTGTTGTACATCTGTGTGACATGTGTCCTTAGAATGTCTTTTCAAACAATGATATTTTGTTTCATTGAAAAAAACAATCAACGATCCTGGATGGAAAGAAGCATCATAAAGTACGAAACCGATATGTTTATGAGCTAAAACAAAAAACAAACCCTTGTTTTAGAAACCCTCGATCTAAATAAACGAATGACAATATGATTTTGTTTAGAAACTTTAAGATACATTGGCAAATCCTTCCAACGATGGAGCGAATAAACCACCAATGGAAAACATGCAGTGTCGCGTTGTTCTTTGCATTACAATCCGTAACAGTTTTTGCGCTTTCAATGACGCAGTGTACCATTTTGTGTTGTACCTACAAGATAAGCGTATATGAGAACATTTCGCTGCCTAAGAAATTTATTTTGATCCGCAACGTGTACACAACTTACATTCTATGATACATTTCATTGCCTTGGTCGATTATATACTGTCCTATATAGTTAACAAAAATCATGTACCATACGTGTCCGAGGACGAAAACAAGACTGATGATCAAGTCGTAATATTTGTCGGATTTTAGAAGAACAGAAAACTGCCATACATAAACGATCAATATATTTTTGCACAAAAATAAACAAAGTCAACGTTTAAACACTGCGTTTCGATATAATGTGACCAAAAAATCCATTGCTCGTCGAATTAATGTCATTCAATCAATAATTACTCACACGATAGAGATTGACACTCATCGACATCACTCCTAACGGCAACAACACCATATATGCTAAATTAAAGTTAGACGCCGACATTTCGACAAACCTTCAGAAACGATAAATACAAATAATGTTTCAATACTTTCATCATAAATTTGGTACTCAATTTGAATAAGATATTCACAAAACAATTCATAAAAAATAATAAAAATTACAAACATAAATGCTTTCCTGTGTATATCGACCGCAGTGATTATCCCGCAGATCGAGTTTCTTTTGACAAAAAACACACCGTCTTCCTTTGAACTTTTCTGCAAAGCTTGTTCTATGCGAAAGCTGAAACTTATAATACG